TGCAGAAGTGGTCCAGCAGTACATTATAACACCTTAAGAATTCATGGATCCAGGAAGCAATCATCAATAGCTGCTAACATAAGAAAAAAAAGAGAAAATCAGATACCATTCTAAAAAAAAGTATTCAACAGCATCTATAAAGTAATATTTCTGGAATCTACATGGAGTAAAGTCTTTAGATCTAACAATCAATTTACAGATGACACAGAGAATTGGGGAAGGTGTTAAGCTATACCACTTGGACTGCAATCAGCAAATCCAGACTGTGGGAGCTATCTGTAGCACACAACCAGGCTTACCCAATGAATGAACTGGGCAGAGAGAAAGAAGAGAAACAGTGTTCTAGCCTCAAACCCCACTATGTCCTCCTCACCTTCCCTGGAGGGTCTAAATTTAGAGTCTCGCTCATTGGGTCTCTAGAGAAAGAGTCTTCATCTCTCTTTGTCAGGGGAGGGGTAAAATGGAGGAAGGGGTAGTTGTGCGGGATGGGACAGGAGATCTGGGTTCCAACCTTTCAATTTAGAGCATTTCAGCCATTTTCCCCTTTTAGGCTTGCACCTCAGCCTCACTCCACAATATCTGACACCCATTTCTGAGCCTCCCGGGCATGGGTGTGTTCCTCTGCCATAGCCCGCCTGAAACTGTCCTGCTCTGTCAAATCAGTTGTGATTTCTCCATCTGCTCTTCAGCTCCCCAGAATGTGTTTAATCTGTTGTCCACTGACATCATTTTTGTTCTGTCCTTGTGCATCTGTGCCTTTTAAATTTTTTCACTGCCCTTTGGTGGAATTTTTGAAGAAGTCAAGATAGACACGTATGACCAACCTGCCACACACAATGCTTTATTCTAGGACAGTGACTGCATGGTTTTCAGCTCTGGGAGAAGGCAGGTGAGACACTAGAAAATGAGTCATCTCCTTGTAGACTCAGCAACTCCCCTGGACACCAGCAGCAATGGTCGAACATTAAAACATCTTCTGAGCATTAAGTCCACCACAGTTCAGCAGAGTTTAGACTTCAAACAACTCTAGAGCTGCCGGACTAGCTCGGAGAATGTAGGGATAACCAGCAGAGAGCTCAGATCAGCTGCACCGCCTGCCCAGGCCCAGACAAAGCCTCAGATGCTTTCTCTTCCGCATGTGCATGTCAGTCCCCATTTCTGCCCTCGCAGGGCATCGGGCAGCTCAGGATCAGAAACCCATTGCAACTAGACCTCCAGCCACGTCATCCGCCAGTTGCTCATCAGCTGCCAATGGTCAAATCCAGCTTAGCTCATCATAAGGCAGCACCCTGCCCCCTGACACTGTTGACCATTTGCCACCTTTTCTTCCCCAAAGCCAGTTTATTAAGTTACACTGATAAATAACCATCACAGGTGAGCTGACTTGATTTTGAGTCCCCTCCACATGTGTACACTCTCTGCCCCTCCCCCCATCTCCCCTCCAGTCAGTCAGTGCTTGGAGAACCAGGAGACTGAGTATTTCGATTTCCCTTAAGGAACAGTAGTTTACGTAAACTGTTTAATAAGGGTTAGGTACTCAGAAGTCCTTTTAATGGACACTGGGTTGCACGAAGTATTTGCATATAGATTTTTCTTTAAGGGATATTAATTATTTAAACCATCGATGAAGCACTGAGTTTTAAGTTTGGTTAAATCGTACCCCGGGGCCACAGGGGAGGATGGGGCTGTAATGGAGTTACTTTACAGCCATCCTACCCTCAGGCTGGGTGGAGAGGAAAGCCAGTGGGGTTGGGGGTGGGGCTCTGCCTCCTCCTGACAGGGGAGCGGCAGAGCGGTAGGCTCATTTTTAGCACTGTTTTCTGTGAGCCACTTGTGATAGCAGATGTCGAGGACTGACAGTTTATAAGCAGGGACCGGAAGCCTCAGATATGGCAATGGAAGAATGCACACCGAAGTCAGGCTTTTATGATCAGAAGTCCTTTTATGAGGACCAGAGGCTGAGGTCTACTGCAAGCCCATTGGAGGGAATCCTGGACAGCCCCCTCCCACTTCCCTCTCACTCTCTCTGCTCAGCCCGCTAGGGCAGGCACAGGGACATGCAGTGTGTGTTTTTTTTTTTCTCTCCTTTGTTTCAACGCAAAGAGATAGTCTGAACTCCAGAGACCAGGCCCCAAAGAGACAACATGAAAACGTGGTAAAACAAATTCCTGGTGTGCTGGTGGCTGATTTGCAGTCCTTCAGAGAACTCCGTGACGCTGAGCCCCTGGCCCAAGCTCGAGCTGGGCGGCTCCTCTAAGATATCTTCCCATGGCTGAGATCTGCACGGAGTTGGAGGAACCAAACGCCAGGCCTTGTTGTCAAGCGGGAGAGTCCTAACATCTGGTAAGGCGGAGACCCAGAAACGAGGGCCAGCTGTCAAGGACACCTGGGCACGCCAAACCAGTTGGGAAGCATCCACAGAAAAGGCCTTCTTGACATCCTAGAGCAGTGGCTCCTAAATTCGGCTGCACAGGGAATCACCAGAGAGTTTTTAAAAATCCCAGGGCCTGGCTAGACCCCAGACCGATTAAGTCTGAATAGCTGAGGCTGGGACTCGGGTATCAGTGTTTTTATAGCTCCTTGGCGATCCCAGTGGGCAGCCTGGGAGAAGCACTCTGCCCAGAGTCAGGCCAGCTCTGTTCCCGCCCTGACCCGTGCAGGCCAGAGGCCTGGATGGCACCACTGTGGGCCAAGTCTTCCTAAGCCCTTCAGGGCTGCCAGCTTCCCTGACCCCAGGGGTCACCTTCCTGCCAAAGATAGTGGGCCTGTGCTCCCTAGTGCTGTCTGGTGCTGGACCTTATGTGATTGCCACCTAAAGACCTCTTCCTCTCCCTTCACTCCCTCCCCACTCTGCTGCCTGAGTGCGGCTCTCCCCAGGGCTCGCCTGGACCATTGCAGCTGTCTCCTAAGTGGCTCCTCCACTAATGCATTTTCTGCAGCTGGGCCAGGCCATCAAAATACCAAATCTCTTCATGCTACTTCTCTGCTTAACACACTTCAAAGAGCCCCCAATGCCTTCAAAGTAAAATATGAACCTCTCTGCTCAGCAATGAAGACCCTCTGCAATGCGGCCTCTCCCTCCCCGGGCCTCAGCTCCCACCCTAACCCATCCATACTCTGTGACCCCACCACACCGGGCCCTCAGTGCTTGCCACTATTTCCCATGTCCGTGTCTCCTCTGCAGCTGCCTGGCACACCCCCACCCTTCAAGCTCCAGCTCAAGGGCAGCTCTCTGGGAAGGCTTTGCAGACCCCATTGGGCTCCTCGTGCCTCTGGCCCACCACCACCCCTGACACAGAGCCCTCCCTGCGGCCTTCCCAAAGCATTCATTTTGCACACCTATCTCTCTTCCCCCTTTAGCTGCATTACCCCTCCCAGGAGAACTTCCTTTGCAGATCATGGGAACCAAACAAAAAGCTGCCACCTGAGCTCAGGGAAGCGCCCCACTGGACCCACTTCCTCCCAGCCGCTGTGAATTGCCTCCACACCAGCTTCCCCCAGACCCTGACCTCCTGGGTCTGACATCTTCACGTCATGTTCTGTGGACACCACGAGAAAACTGGGCTCTGGCTGGGCTGCTTGCGACTGAGCTGGCAGGCCGTGGGATGCTGCCTCTGGGGCCTCCTCTGCCTTGCTCCAGCCCAGGCTCCGGGATCCCACCCAGGAAAGGGGATCATTTATGGTCTCCCACATGCTTGTTCCTTGAGGCAAGGGATGGAGCCTGACTCACCTTTGGATCTTAAGTGCCTGGTTTCCTGCCTAGGACTGGACCTGGGCTTTAGCAGGTATTCAGTCATGTTTATGGGGGGTGGTTAGACAGGTGGGTAGGCGAGTTGGCGGGTCAGGGTATGGACAGAAGGGTAGACAGATCAATAAGTGGGTGGATGGCATCTCCTTTCAAATTGTTCGAGTTTCTCCTCATGGGCACACCTTTCCTGCCCACTTAAACCTCCCCTCTGGAAGCCAGCTGCAATGGCCCTGGGGTGCAGACCCAGGAGAAGCTAGAAGAAGGTAGACCAGAATGTCACACCAGTTCACCAAGGACAACTCACCTTCCCCAACAGGCCTTGCGGTGAAACTGCGCACCCAACAGCCCAGTGTCTGACTAGCACTCGTACCGCTCTCTAGTTTGTTATGTGTATCCCTCGTCATCTTTGCCGGTGAGACCTACAGGCTGGAGACTCTGCTCGTCTCACTGCCCCTCTGCCCTTGGCTCAGTTCGGATACACAATGGGTGCTCAATGAACACTTGGTGGCTGGGGGAGCAGCGAGCCTCCCAGACACAAGGACGGGGGCTCCCCCCTCACTGAAGAAGAGATGGCCTTCCTCTCTCTAGAATGTTCAGCCTCTGCAGAGATGGTGCGGCAACTGTTTCTCAATCTGAGATAAACATTCTGGATCAAGAAGTCCCATTAAAGTACCGCCCAGAGCACTTAGGGAATTGTGCTTGGGGAGTCCTTCTTGGCAGCAGATAATAAATAAATTACAGCTTAGTGGAAATGCTGAGTGAGAAGGGGATCACTCACTCAGGCCAGCCTAAGAAAGGAACCAGGGACACCCTGTCCCTTGAGACCCAAACTCAGAGACCCTCCTGTGGATTTAGGCGCTGGACTTAGAATGCCCAGCCACTCCAATTTTCCCAGTACTGTCCTGGTTTTAGCACTGAAGTCCTGCGTCCTGAGGCTGTGCAGTCCCAGGCAAGCAGGTCGTTGGTCACCCTAGCTCTGGTGCTCTTTTCCTCCCCTCCTGGGCAGCTCCTTCGCACAATGAGGAAGAGCATCCTGTGTGTGTGTCCATGTTTATGTGACCTCACCCTCACACCCAAATGTCTTCCCAGCAGTGACCTCCATAGAAGTGAGAGTCCGTGGCCAGTGAAAGGAGCCTGGGGCTCCTCTTTCCAACCTCGGGGATTCAACTTTCAAGCTGCGCTCCTTGCGCTGCCCCAACCGAGCTCCCCAATACCAGGGAAATTATGGGGAAGAGAAGGGAAGCAAAGGTACCTGAAGGAGGGAGACATTGGCAAGGCTGAGTCTGAAGAGGTAGTTCCTGTGAAAACAGAAATGGAAATCGTAAGTTCAGCTGGTTTTGCAGGCAGGTCCCTAGCAAGCAGCTGGCTCCTGCCCCCCGGGGCGCCAGGACTGGGTGCCAATTGCAGAGGGTTTTCGGTAAGCTGACCCCCAAGGAGAGCTTTGCCTCACTTAGCTCATTAAATCTCCACTGCAGCCCTAGGAGCAGAGTGAAAAAATTCCATTTCACAGATGAAGAAACAGGCTGGAAAATGGCCCATGGAGGAGTTAAAACTCAGAGTTGTCTATGCCTAAAGCCCAGGCTTCTGGCCATCCTGGCAGGTCCAGGGAGGAACCGTCACCACTTTCCCAACCGTGGGCCTGTTTCTGTTAAACTTGAAGCCTCCTGGAGCTCTTAAAGGGACCCAGACAGGCCATCTTCCTTCTTCTCTCACCCACCTCCCTGACTCACTCCCCTCCTCAGGCAGGCTGGCCATCTTTCCTGGCCCCACACCACAGGCCCCAGGAATTCTGTCTGCTCCCTCAGGCCCTGCAGTCCTTTCTGCCGTCAGTGACTCTGGAGCTGACTTTTCCACAGCTACCTCCCTGGACCACCCTGTCCCTTCTTGCCCAAATCGTCCCCTCTGCTCCTTCGTGATTCCTCTACCCCATAGTCTAGCCAGCACAAGGATATGAGACTCAAATTCCTTAAACACCATTTTCATTATATTAGCCTGCTGTTCAAGCCCTGGCCAGGTAGCTCAGCTGGTTTGACATCATCCTGACATGCCAAGGTTTGTGGGTTCAATCCTGGTCAGGGTGTGTACAAGAATCAACCAATGAATGCAGAAATAAGTGGAACAACAAATCAATATTTCTCTCTCTCTCAAATCACTATTTTAACAAAACTTAAGGAAACTTATGTCCACACAAAAACCCACAGTTTATTCATAATTGCCAAAACTTAGAAGCAGCCAAGATGTCTTTTAGTAGGTGACTAGATAAATAATCTGCGGTCCATCCAGACAGAGGAATATTATTGAGTGCTAAAAGGAAATGAGCTATGCAGCCATAAAAAGGCGTAGAAGGACCTCAAGTGCATATTGCCAAGTGAAAGAAGTCCATCTGAAGAGACTACGTACTGTATGATTCCAATTATATGACATTCTGGAACACCCACAACCATGAGACAGCGAAAGGATCCATGGTCGCTCAGGGGTGGAGGCGGGCAGGGAGTGGACGAACAGGCAGAGCACAGAGGGTTTTCAGGGCAGTAACCCTGCTCTGTGTGGCACCGTAATAATGGGTATATGTCATTACACATCAATCCAAATACATAGGGCGTATACCACCAACAGCGAACCATAACATGCTCTGTAGACTTGGGGAGATAATGATGTATTGATGTAGGTTCATCCGTTGTAACAAATGTGCCGCTCCAGGGGGGGAGATTTCACATGTTGGGCAGGGGCTATATGGGAATTTTCTCTGCCTTCCTATTAATTTAGCTGGGAACCAAAACTGCTCTAAAAAGTTAGTCTTAATTTAAAGCAAACCTTTAAATAGTAACAATGATGACATGCTACCACTACTATTAGCTCCCCATCAAACACTCATAGTGTCGGGTGCTGCAGAAATTGCACTTGCGCATGGGTGCGAGGGGAGCAGGACCCCTGGTCAGAGTGCCTTGTGACGGTCATTGGGGTTCACAGAGTGGAGCCTGCAGCAGAGACAGGGAGAACTCCAGTTGCTAGAGGCCATCTGAGCACCTCAGTGTCTGCCTCTGTACAGTGGGTATGCCTGTCTTTCCCCTTTCACAGTGCGGTGGAGAGAGGGGAATGGTGCACGTTAAAATGCTTTATTAATATCAAGCAGATGTAAAATTTTGGTTTTCCCTAAGAGTTTTCTTTCCTTCTTACATCTTCCTTTGGTTATTCCTCTTTTCATTCCTGAGGCTTTTAGAAATAATTGCTTTAGAAAGTTCTGGCCTACCTCAGCTAAGCTGAGAAGAGAAATGAGGGGAAAGGTTGTGGTGTGAGCCAGAATGAGGAGGGCCCCTGCCAGATGAGGCCCGGGCCCTGAAGGAGATACCTCCAGCTGGGGACTCCTCTTCTCCAGTTCTGGCTCCTGGCCCAGGCCCCACTCAGCTGCTACACTGTCCTGGCAGGCCTCACCAGGTGACCTTGGCTCCAGGCTCCTGCTGTCCCTCCTTAGTCCCCTGCCCGGAAGAGCTTCCCCACCCCCACCCTACTGGCCGGGGGACTGACGGCTCTGCCCCAGCTGTCTGCTCAGGTAACACAGGCATCTGGTCACAGCTTTAAAGAATTAGGGGAAACATTGCATCACTTTTTTTTCCCCATTTTTATCCCATCAGAAATCATTCATCACAACATCACAGTCTGCTCTTCTGGGAGGTGAGAACAGAGAGAAAACTCTGTAGCCTGGCCCACCCTGAGTCCCTTAGGAAACAAGGCAGGGGTGTAAATGAACAAAAAATGTCCATCGCCTGAAATCCGGAGGCCCAGGGGACCAGAAAGAAGGAGGAAACCTGACAGGCAGAGGAGGAGGAAGAAACATGACCTAGAGAAAGGGGGAGAAGGAAGAAGCTGAGGACCCACTCTGTTTGCTGCGAGAGGTACCAGGGGCCAAGTCCGGGGATATTCTCCATGTTCCGCAAGAGCAGAGCCGGGCTCAAGGACCCAGGCAAAGGATTGTGTCCACCGTGTGGGGGAAGCCCTGGATCGGGTCAGGAAGAGCCAGTGTGACCACAGGCAGGGGACCTGGCCTTCTGAGCATCGGTTTCCTGGTCCACACAACGGGGCTACTCACAGAACCCAGCTCCTGGGATTATGGGGAAGGTTGGATAATTTATCGCGTGTCTGGATGATGACACGCTCTATATGCCTCACCGCATACAGGGCGTGCAGAAGGGTGCTGAGCACAAGGCAGGCGCAGTGGGAAGGGAAGCTTTTAAAACGTTTCCACCAGGTTCAGAGCCAGACATCAGGGTTTTTAAAGTGTGCAGGCAAAATGGCTGGAGTCTGAATACGGTGAGAGGGTCTTACTAATGGCAGCCTTGTGACTGTGATGTCGCACTATCGTTGCACAAGATGTTACTGTTAAGGGAGACTGAGTGGAAGGTATATGGGTCTCTGTGTTATTTCTTACAAATGCGTGTAAGTCACATTAATCTTAAAATAAAAAATAAGAATTATTCTCTTAGCAGGGAAATTACGTTCACACCCTGGCAGACTAGTATAGGCACAGATCACCCCTGGGAGGACACACGAGCTCACCGCGGGCGCGGCTCTGAGGAGGGGCCCTGCTTCTCACTGTATACTATCGCACTTTGTACGCTCTGAATGTTACACCAGAACACATGTCGTGATGCAATGTAATTAGTTAACTTAAAAGTAAAAAGTAAAAGTAAAATGCTTTCAGCCCAGTGTCGCCACAGCCCTGAGAGGTTGGCCGCACAGAGACTGTAACCCAGACCTGAGGCTCGAAAGTGAAGATCACCCAGGCCGAGAATGCAGCTCATCTGCTCCTGGTCCAGAGCTCTGTCCTTGACTAGCCTCCTGGTCATCATGTGATAATAAGGGGGTGGGGACACTCGGGAAAGCCCAGAGGCCAAGGATGGTCAGCTACCTAGTGTGCCCTGGGGGTGCCCAACCTGGTGATCACCACCGCCCCCCACCCAGACCGGCAGCATCAGGACCTCTGGGGCAGAGAGCACCTGAGAAGCACCACTGCAGTAGCAGGCGGCGACACGGGCTGGCAGACCAAATTCTAGCCCTGGGTTGGGAGACCTGGGTTGTAGTCCCCATAACTGTCAACATCTGGCTAGGTTACCTTCAGAAGGTCACCACCCCCTCTTCAGGGCTGTCTCCACCTCTTCATGTTTAAATCAAAGGCAGTGGGGTTGGAGCAGTGCTTTTCAAACCTGAGTGAGCATCAGACTCACCTGGAGGGGCTGCCGAGATACAGGTTGCCGGGCCCGCCCCCAGAGTTTCTGATTCAGCAGGTCTGGGATGGAGCCCAAGGACTTGCATGTCTAACAAGTTCCTGGGTACTGCTTGTGTGGCTGGTCCACTCTTTGAGACCCACTGGAATCGACCACCTCCAAACCCCTGTCCCTATCAGAGCTGATGGTCTATGATTTTGTGAGAATTATTTCCTCCCATTCCATTCCAAAAGTCTCCACAAGCCCTCTCTAGAGTGTCTTACCCTTCGGATACTGGACCTGGGCAGTGGGACTAAAGGAGGCCAGGTAACGGGGAAGCAAGGTCCTGCATAAAAGAAGCACAGGGCCTGTGTCCACATGTCCCAAGTGCAGGTGGCAAATTGGCCAGCAGGGGGCTCCTGGGCACCTTCTCTGCCCAGAGCTCCCGGGGACAACACCAGCTAGCTGGTCCTGGCAGCGTGGCAGGGACAGGGTGCAGGAGGTGGCCTGCAGGCAGGTATTCCTGCTCTCAACCACTGCCAGCCACCGAGGTACGTGGATTGCTGAGATCTGGAGATCTAGATCCCAACCCCAAATACTTCCTTCTTCGAGAGACAGACATTCCGACACAGAGAGGGAGAGCTGGGCAGAGAGCATCGGGGCCCAGGACGCAGGGATGCCCACAGTAGGCTCATCCCAAATCCCAAATAGTGTTTCCTCCACCCACTTCTAAGCACCCGCACTCCCGGCCCCAACCCTCCTGCCCTTCCTTACCTGGCTCCCACGATGAGCTGGTTCCGGGAGGGATCCAGAGCAAGTTGGGAGAAATCTCGCACTCCAGGGTAGGTGAAGTTAGAGACCCAGGGCTTCAGGTCTGGGGGAGCGAGAGCAAACATTCAGTCACCATTGGACCAGGGGCTCCCAGCTGCCCAAGCATTGGACCGGAGAATGGAAGGGCTGAGGTCAGGGTAGAGTTAGGGCGCCACGAGGCGCCAGGAGACCTGTGAGCACCAGCTGGGGGTGGGCACTGGGGGTGCTGTCACTGTTCCTGCTGTGTTCCCTAGCTCAGAAAAGGGCTCCACCTGCCCCCCAGCTGCACAAAGGGAGACTTGTAATCACCTTGATTCCCTCAGTCCCTCACCAGCTGCATCAAACCCTCTAGCAAATCCTGACTGTATACATGCAACTGTCTGTCTCTGAAATCCATCCGTCTTGTGCTCTGCACCCCATCCCCAATCCAAGCCACGAGCATCTCTTGCTTGAGCTGGTGCCAGCAGCCTCCTGACTGGCCCGGCTTCCACTCCTGCCCTTCCAGTCCATTATGCACAAGGCAACAACAGAGAATTATCTTTCTAAAATGTAAATCTGGTTGCATCACTCTCCAGCTTGGAGACCTTTAAAACTCCCAGTTCCGCCCTGGCCAGGTAGCTCAGTCGGTTGGAGTGTCATCCCATACACCAAAAAAGGGTGTGGGTTTGATCTCCAATCAGGGCACATATCTACGTTGAGGGTTTGGTCTCTGGTTGGGGCACATACAGGAGGCAACCAATCAATGTTTCTCTCTCATATCGAGGTTTCTATCTCTCAAATCAATAAACATATCCTCAGGTGAGAATTAAAACAAAACGGAACCAAAAAGGCTCCCATTTGCTCAGAGAAAAGGTCCCAACTCCTGTGAAGGCCTTCAAGTTATGGCCCCCCTGTCCTCCCAAGTCAGATGCCTGGCACGCTCAGTACTTAGTGACCCAAGGAAAGAGCAATACTGCACCTTCACATCCTCCTTACGCTCTCCAACCCAGCCACACGACGCTAGAACACCATGCACTTCTCCAGATCTATCCCACCAGAGCCCACACGCTGTTGCACTTCTGTTCTCCCTCAGTGGAACGATTCCTGTTCACCCCACCCCCACCCCCTCCAAGAAACCTTCCCTGATTCCCCAGGCCAGAGTGAGGGGCTCCCAAGGACCTCTAATGCACTGCCATCGCTGCCCCCATCTCTCTGAGTGTCCACCCCAGGGGTTTGTCCTGGGGGACAGGGAAGGTCTTGCTTCTCAGATGTCCAGGCCCCTCCCAGCACCTGGCTGAGTTTGAATGAACGTGTGAATAAGCCTCAGCTCCTCCTGTACTAGAAGAATCAGGTTATCAGACAAGGGTCCACAGATGGCGGGTGGTCAGTGTCCATCCCTGTGTCCAAGGAAAGGTCTTCCCAGCCAAGGCCAAAATCTTTCATGGGCATTGAGTGGGCAGACAGGAGACTGTGCAGCCCTCTGGATGGACGGGCAGTGGTGTGGGGAGGGTACACCTGGGGAAGGGTGCTCAGCTGACTCTTTCCCTCTCATGAAGACCAGTTTCTCCCGCCTTGGTGCACGGACCCTTAATGGCTCCCCCTCACCCCTGCCTCATGGATGGGAGGGAACTGCCCAGTGAGGAGGCAGAGGAACATTCAGGCTGATGGGGTAAAGGGGGAGGTTGTGAGGCCCTGTGCTTCCTCCCCACAGTGCATTAGCAACAGGCTCACAGGAGGCCCAAAGGAGCATGTATGTGTGTGTGATCCAGGGGAAATAAATCATCGCTCATTATCCCTCCACTACAGACTAAAAGCAGCCCTTCATTTCTGCACGACAGGCAAACACTTAATCGCTCACTGGAGAACTGGAGGTTTTGCAAGTTGGATGTTTTTCAGAAAATTGTAACACGCAAAATTAAAAAAAGAAGAAGAAGAAAGAAATTCTGCAACAAAGCAAAGCTAACCCCTTGGGTTTGCCTCTGCCCCCAGCAGGTGACTACGGGTTGGTAACAACTGTGAGGTAGTTGCAATGACATTTGTGCAACATAAGTATAAGGAGTAAATCTGGAGTCAGGTGTGCTGGGTTTTTAGCTGACCTCAGGGCCACTCTCAGAAGAGGATAAGGGTCCTCTTCCTCCAGGAAGCTTTCCTGGATTATTACCTGTCCAACCAATCTTATTTTGTTCTGCATTCTCTCTACCCTTTCTGTTCCATTCACATTGTATGCTTTGTCACTCTGAATGTGCTCAAGTGTGTTTTCTCTGGGGGGAGGTGTGTGGAGGGCTTGCCTGTCTCCATCAGACTGGGTTCTTCCCAACAGTAGCCACTGGGTCACACTTTAATTTTCTCTTCCCTTTCGACAGAAGTATTCTGGATGTGGACAGCCAAATAGGGGAAGAGGTGGCATGACCGGTCTGCAGCAAACCAGGAGAAACTCCGTCCAGGGACTTCTCAGCTCAGTCTTTGCTCAGGTGGGTCCTTGGGCAGGAGGGAGGAGGGAGAGGAACAGGGCAGGAGCCAGGCTGACAATGGGGAGGAGGTGGGTCAAGGGAGTGGAGGGTGGAGGCCCCTTGCAGCTGCTGTCCCTTTCTCCTAACGCAGAAGAGACCAGCATGGGCAAAGGGGAAAGGGAGAGAAGGGAGAGATGTGCAGCCCAGTGATCCTGGGGGAAGCTTCTTGGGAAGGCAGCCAGCTTCCTCTGATTAAACAGCCAAGGAGGACCGGAGGGAAGGCTGTCTTTAAAACACCAAGCACGTTCTTGAGCGCCGTGTGCACCGAAGGCTTTGGACAGTGTCTTTAAGAGAAAAATGACATTCTCCGTGATGCGCCTGTGATTTTAATTATGTATAGTCAATTCAATTACCCACTTTGTGGATTAACCACTGCCGGTGTTAACTCCATATTGGCTGCTCCCTACTGCCTGGAAAGGCCATGCTGTGGCCAAAGGACTAACACGCAGGCCAAAGAAAGACACATGTGGGTCCCCTTAAAATAAACCCAGAGCAGAACATTTAATCTCATGAAACAGGAAAATGTCAGATTCTGCAACTGCCAGCTCCTCTAGGGCATTTAGGGGTTATTCACAGATCAGTCAGAGGCCAGGGGAGAAAGAAATGCATAACTGTGGGGCTGGGAACCTCCAGGCTGGTCAGAAGTAAAGCGCAACATAAGAGGGGGTCCTGGAAGCTGTGGGGTCGGTGCTGGGCTGGATTATGGCAACTTCTCCAGAACACAGTGTCACTCGGAAGACAGTCCATCACCTGGCATGCACTGAGTCCCTAGCGTGTACTCAGCCACGCGAAAGGATGTGGGGGTCTGCAGGACTGACTGGTCCTGGTCTGGGACCAACCACCACACTGGGGAGCCCAGGGAGCGACATTTAAGGAACAATACAATTCTTGAGTGTTCAAACAAAAACCCTCAAAAACTCTTATTCACCTCTGAGGCCCCGCAGGGTGCAGCTCTGTGGCTGGCATCAAGCAAGACCTGATAAAAAATTTAGTGAATGGATAGGAAAACCCAAAGCTGTCAGAAGGGGAAAGGAGGTAAATCGGTTTAGGCCAGGAGGGCTGGGGAGGAAAGCCACTCTCCGGGACCCACAGCCTAAGATGACAGACCATCTCCTCTTGCCCAGATGTAAGGGAATTCCTCAGCAACACTGTGTGTACCCCGTGTGTCAACCTGAGCCTCATTCCTTCCTTCTGAAAGGGGTGTGGCGTGGTGGCAAGTCAAGTCATTTACACATGAAGATCAAAAGTGGTGCCAGGGAAGCCAGGCACCGAAGGGGCCCATCTCCCACATCTCTACCGCCCCCGCTCCCACCCTTTTGCTCCAACACAGACCAGCCGGGCTGGGGGGTAGGGATTCCCCTGCTCCCATCCCATCGCCCTGCTCCCAGAATCAGCCTGGCCAGCAGTGCCCCTGTTGAAGCCCGGAGAAGAGATGTTTCATTAGGAGCTGCCACAGGAGCCCCCAGTGTGAGGACAGCCCTCCGCCCTCAGAACCCAGCTCCTCCTGTCCCCCACTTAGTCCTTCCCCTCCCTCACTGACAGCCACCAGCAGCACTTCAGGGGCCATCAGAAGTCTGAGGGAGTGCGCGCTTGCTTGTTCTGTAGGCTTAAAGACACTGCTAATTTACTGTAATCCACTTAAGCCTTCAAAGACTGGATCCCAGCTCAAACAAGACAGCACAGAGAAAACAGCTGGAACCAACCCCCGCCCCCACCCCCACCCAGCACTGGAGACACCAGCAGCCGCAGCTTGGAATCCCACCCTTCTAAACGCTCCCAGACTCCCACCTCACAGCCCCAACTCCTGTTCATACGGGCCCCTGGCCCCCAAATCCCACGCCAGCCTCAGACTCATGGATTTACTTTCCCACTCGAGTCTCCGTCTTGCCCGGCTGTGTGGAACGTGGGGTCTGCGTCAGGAGGCTCTGACGAGTCTCTCCAACACTCTGTACCTCGACCGCCCACTTGTAAAAGGAGGCGATAGCCTCGCCCTGCCCCCTGCCAGGGTCACTGTGAAGGGGAAACAGGCTTAAGAACTGGTGACCCCTGAGACTACCTCAGTGTGAGCTTCCATGAGGCGGTGAGTCCGAAGTGCCCATGTGGTGATAACACAAACAGGGACCCCCACTGGTTCACGGCGCGTGGGAGACCATCCAGGGAGCTCCAGTCCTGGCGTTTTGCTTTGTTTTTAGAGTCTCATCAAATGTGTACATGAATTTTAGAAATTCTCACTGAGGACTGATGACCAGCTGTTCACAAATCTCTATTTGAGAAACGCTTTAACTGCACCCTGGTGTGCCCTCCCTTGACAGACAGAAGGAATTATTAGTCATCAGGACCCCTTTCCCTGGGGGCTCCCAGGACCCCAAGGACGGGCATCCCTGCAGCGGTCTTAGAGCAGGAGGAATCTTCACAGAGATCACTAGTGAAGTCCTTCATTCTCCCCCCGGGGATGCCACGACATACAGCTCATGCTTCCAGAAGAGCTAGAGCTGAGTTGACCAACCAACCCTCAGCCAGCCTGCACAGAGTGGGCATACCTGGTTCCCTAGTGAAGAAATCCCAGAGAAAGGCTCCCAGGTAAACAGGAGGGAAGAGCCTGAATAAACTGTCTGGAGACTAAAATCATACCCTACAAAAAAATGATTATCCCAGGACTTCCAGCAGCTAGAGGGACCCTGCTGAGGTTAGACCTAAGCCCTTCAGGACAGGGTCGCCACAGAAAGAACTGAGTGGGAAGGGGGTCTCACCTGCAAAGGCCACGGTGGGGTGTTCCCTTAGGGCACACAGCTGCTGCTCGCTGCTGGGGTCACTGGCGACATCCTGGGAGCTGGAGAGGTGGACCAGCAGCAGTGTGAGGCTGGGCGGCAACAGAGTGGCAGCCAGCAGTCCCAGGAGCACCATGGTGGGCCCCTCTGGGGTCCCAGCTCCCGGAGGCAGGCAGGGGGAGGACCTGCAACACAAGCAATGAATCTCACCATGGGCTCCCTTGGCAATGTCCACTTCTCCCAAGTTCATGGTTGTTGGCGGCCCCAGGTTTTGGCTTTTGTTTAAGTAATGTTATATTTTATTTATGTTAGTTAGAGTTTATTCTGCCCCAGTAATGCAAAGTTATGGATCATATTTTGAAAGCTAATTTTCCTTGGAATGGTATTCTACACAAAACTGGCAAATTACAGAGCTTTTTCTACTAGGATCCCAAATGGCTTAAATTTCTTTGTAATGATAAAGGTGGTATCTTAGGGATTTTAATAAATAGAGCTAGGACAAATGAATAGCCAGTTGTAAGAAGATAAATTTGTATCTATAACTCATACCTTACACTAGGAAAAATTCCAACTGGATACAAGATTAAATGCTAAGAATAAAACCAACAAAATACTAGAAGAAAAGGTAGGCAATAATCTTTATAACCCTGAGGTGGAGGACAATGACTCAAATTCCAGAAGCTATTAAAGAAAAGATTGACAGATCTAACTACATAAAAATCACAAACTTCCGCAGGTCCCCCCAAAAGAAAACAACATCAAGCAAAGCTGAAAAGCAAATAACAAAATGAAAAGAAATATTTGTGCCCTGGCTGGTGTGGCTCAGTGGATTGAGCACCAGCCTGTGAACCAAAGGGCTGCCAGTCCGATTCCCAGTCAGGGCACATGCCTGGGTTGTGTCTGGGTTCCCAGCAGGGGATGCGTGGGAGGCAACCACACACTGATGTTTCTCTCCCTACTTCCCTCCTTTCCCCTATCTCTAAAAATAAATAAATAAAACCTTTAAAAAATATTTGCAATTCATATCACAGACAAGAGGCCAATATTTCTACTATGTAAATAACTACTGGGAATCAAGAAGAAAAAACATCAACAATCTGGTGGAAAAGGAATATAATTGTGAACCAGGCTTAAACATGTAAATGACACTTAATCTCACTCATGATAAGAACAGTGCGAACTAACACTCAGACTGAGATACTTCTGCCCACCTGTCAGTTTAGCAAAAGTCCGAGTTAGACGACACACTTTGGGAAAGGAGGCACCCCATTCGCTGCGGGCGGGTGGGCGGAGTGGCACAACCGTCCACCCACGGAGGGGAATCGACAATGTCTGGCAAAACGACAGCGGCGGCTCCGCTCTGACCCGATTTCTGGGAGTCTAGGCCAGTGCCAGTCAGGGCGGTCCACGGGCCTGTGTCCATCCATAACGTGCGAGGACTCCGTGGTGAGATAAATGCAGTGACTCGAGAGTGTTTACAGCCTTTCCAGTAATCTGACAGAGTCATTTTTGTGTCTATTGGATCCAATAACAGAATATTTGGGCTTGTATATTTAGCAGCTGTTTTTTTCAATTCACTTCTCTAGGGATTCACTTTTATTAAATTTTACATAATCATCCACCTGCAACAGACTGTAAATTGAAAAGTAAAACCTGTTCCTTCATCACAGATAATTGGGAAACAAAATAGACCACAGAGGCACCGGCCCCTGCGCAAGTCCCTGCGTGCACGAGAGTGTTCTTGCAGCAACGTTCGAAACAGGAGGAGATAGGAAACAACCAAATACCCAGCAACCAGAGACTGCTTAAATACGCTACGGTAGACTTTGTAATAAAATCCCATGCAGCTCTAGAGAAGAAATCAGGATTTTCACTAGATTTTGATATGGAGAAATCTCCAGGGACAGTAAATGAAAAAGGGAAGATATACAGTAGTATAATAGCATGCTGCCTTTTGTGTGAAAAAGAGGGTAGAGATAAGAAAATATGTTTATTTATCTTACCATTAACACACACTAGAAAAAGAAAGCTAACTAAAAAAAAATAAAATTACCTACAAAAGTAGCAAAATAGTGACCCAGGCTTCTCTATATATACCTTTTTATATTATCTTCATTTTTGAATGATGAATATGTTTAATACTACCTAGTCCATAAACCTTTTTAAAAGCTTTTTTAAAAACTTTTTTGGTTCCCTAAGACTTCTAACACGGACGGCCCCACAGGCCCGGGTGGCCGACCACACCCTCTGGTCAGCTCCGACCCTCTGCCAGAGGCCCGCCACTGCTCTCCGTGCGTGCGTCTGCCTCAGGTCCCGCACAGGTCTCCGAGTGACCTTCTTGGGTGACCTTCTTGGGCTCGCGTTCCTCCTCTGTGAAATGAAAGGCTGAGCTAGCTCAGGGAGTTTCCCGGCATGGGGTGGGGGAACCAATCAGAATCACCTCCCCTGGGGGTGCAGGCCTGGAGCCACCAGGTGAGTGAGCCCAAAGGTGATACTGCCAGCCTCCCCAGGGCTGCAGGCCCTGGGTTCCATCCCTCTCTAAGACCCTTTGCTCCTAACCCCTCCTCTCTCTTCCCTTCCTACTGCAACTACCTTACCCCAGGTCTGGAAAATCACAATAGGATAGCTTTCTTCCAGGCCTAAGTTTTCCCACATGTGTGTGAAATGCAACAATGCCTGTCCTGCCATTGCTGTAAGGCTTCACGGAAATTCTCCCCTGACCACACAATGTGTGTGCCCAGCAGAGCCCCCTTCTCCCTTACTTTGCCCATCCTGCACCCACAGGGTCACAGTTCCTAGAGCACTTCCTTGATTCCTTCATCCTAGAGCCTGCCCATCCCTCTCAGCAGAGACCCTCTGGGAGGGGGTTTGGCCGGAACTTACTCCCTGGAGTGATTTTTCACACTCACTCACTGAGTTATTCCTCAGTGCTAAGCTGGGTCCTTCCTGCTGCCTGGGGTTGGCACTGCTGCCCCTGGCCAACCCTCTGGAGCAAGTCCACCTGGGTTCAAATCCCAGCTCTTCTCTTTACAAGCTGTGTCTCTGGGAAAAAATACTTAACTTCTCCCTGACTTAATTTCCTCAAACTGGGAGTGAGAATAGCAAAATCAACTCCCTCAGCAGACATAAGTCTTAAAGGAATTACTGTCTTTTAAAGGCCTGGAACGGAGCCTGGCAGACAGTGAGCATCCATTAGTGAGAACTATTCTGATGCCCTGGGCAGCAGGGTGGGGGTGGGGGGACTGGGGGATTTCCTTTTGCCCTTTGACACCTGTGCTGGATGCCTTCCCTCTGTCCCTCCACTCTCTCTCCTCCTTCCAGCTCCTGCCTGAGCTGCATCCAGGGACCCCTTCCCTCTGTTCGGCCAATGGTGTGGGGAGGGCTCTGGCAGAAGATGGGAGAAAGGAGGGAGGGAGGGTGGAGGCAGTAGAGTGAGCTCTGGTCCAAGCTTCTCTGCCTCCAGGTTTCAGCAATCCCTCCCTCCCTCCCCCCTCCTTCTCTCCTCCCTCCCTCCCTCCCTCCCTCCCTCCTCTCTCAGGCCAGGGGCACCACCCGACTGTGAACACTCCCTGTGGTTCCCAAATCCCTTCCCTTTGTATATAGTTTCTGTATTAAACTGCCCTCCATTTCCCAATTTGTGCCATCTGTTTTCTTGGGTTACCACATCTAATTGGTGATATATTTTTTTATGACTTTACTGGGCTTTTCCTCTCTCTGCTGCTCAGGACATCTAAGGTGTTAGAACAACTGCTCTCCCCTCATTATTCCCTACCCTTCTCCTGTCCCCTGCTCCCTTCCCAGGCCCCCCCCCCTGCCCACCCACCCCCCTGCCCCCCAGGGTCTGACTGCCATCCTCACAGCCCCCAGGCCTCCGCTCCGCTCAGCTCCACGTGGCCAGATCCTGAGCTCTGGGGCCTGAAGTAAGAGCACCTCCAGGGCCTCCTCCCCTTCTCCAGACCCAGGCCTTCCAGTGCCTAGTTTCCACGGCAGAAGTTCCACTCACTTAGGATCTGTACATAAACACATCTTCTAACTTCCTCTTGAATCAACAATTGCTAGATTCATATCATTTCCTCCACATGGGCTCCAGCACAGTGTGTCTGCTGTTTGAGGAGAAGGGAACAGGCATGTGAATGGGGAGGAGAGCACTGAAGTTGGGACCTGGGTGCCGGTCTCCTCCACTCAGGTGAAGGAGGAGGAAGAGGAAGAGAAAGCCAGAGCAGCAGATGGACGTGCACACCACACGCAGACTGGAGAGTTCCCCAGAGACAGACACTCTGGACACTCACTAATCAGGGAGGAGACAGGATGGGCCTTTTTTCAGACAAGCATTTCAAGTCTTAGGAGTGTGAAGGTAGGCCAAGGGGTTGACTTAGGAATCCCACAGGGGCTCACACACAGGCCTGTTTTGTCATCACCTTCGAGGACCTCCTTTGCCCTTGGCAAGGAAGCCAGTAGACCCAAGGAAGGGTGCAAAGGAGGGACCAAAGGATCTGGGCTGGAGCATGAGGTGCTGATGGTCAGGGCAGGGCTCAGCAAGGCAGGACTCTACAAGTGCCACACTGAAGAACAGAGAAGAGTGGTCAACCCCCACATCACTCAGAGCATTACAGGGTCTGACCTTTTGAGCAAACTTCTAGATAATTGGTGAAATGGGGGAGAGACTTCCCAATTCCCCAGAATCCCCCATCTTTGGAAATGACCTCCCTTCCATCCACAGGTCAAAGGGGTAGCCGCCGCCCGCCCCCCCACCCCATGTATATACCTGTCCCCATCCAATCCTAGCTGCTTGCACCAAGGGGAGTCATGTGGTTAAAACAGACCAATCAGATGCTCTCCATTGGCAATTTGGGTGTATAACATCTCCCGCCACCAGGGTCAAGTCAGTCTTTCTGGAGGAATCTGGAACATGTAATGTGGGCCAAGTGGGGTGACATTCTTCCACCTGTCACATGGGCTGAGGAGAAGGGCAAAGAAAATCTGGACAGAGGCCAGTGACAAGAGAAAGCAAGCAGAAATGCCCTGGGATGCTGACAGTCTCCCAGTTTCCAATTGTAGCCCTTTCCTGAGATCTGAGTACATGCTACTTCTATAACCCACCCCAGATCCAAGTAATAAAATTTACCTTGTTTTTGTTAAGTCAGCCAGAGCTGTGTCAGACCAGGAGCCACCTACACAGTGTTGC